TATCTTTTTAAGCCACTCTCTTCTAGGACCAATGTGACTTATGCCAGTAAGATTTTTCAGATAATGGTCTCCTACCCCCAAGGCTTTAAAAAAAAAAAAGAATTTTGGTATGGCAGTGTGAGTTTGACAAAGCTCTCCAGGTAGAAAAGGTCACATTAACCAACTATAGCCACCACCTACTATAAGGGAAACCCTAATCTTTTTATATACAATTGTTATCCGATCAGTTGGATGTGGTTTCTTTGAATGAAGTAAGTTTTGTTATACTGTCTACAAAATTAGGAAGACTGCTCACTGATAATCCACCAACAACTTTTAGATATTATCTTGTTTCTTTCAATTTTTAATGCTTCTTATTTCTAATGTTAGTCTGTGATCATAATAAAAATTAAAAATTACTTCTACTTATAAAGAACTTGTTCATTTAAAAACTACTGTTTTAAATGAGTTATTTTCAGCTAAAGAATATGTAAACTACTAAAGTACAAACAATAAAAAGAACATAAATTTTATGGGAATTAGGGAAGAACTATCATTTAATTCTGGAATTAGTTTTTAAGAAAATGAAGAATAAATGAGATTAAAGTTTACCTTGGGCTAGCCCCAAATTTTAATAATGTAAAAACAATTTTTTATTAGGTTTCTATTAGAGAAGTTAACTGAAAAAAGGGCTCAAAATTAGTGCAAGTTCCTAAAAATGGGTTGGGTGGGAGAGAAAAAGGAACCATTTCAAATATTTCTCAAAAAGGGAATGTGGTTACACAAAAAGTTTAGTGAATCTGCGAACATCCAAAAGCACATTAAAACAACCAAGTAAAGGAGGGGCAGATCAAATAACAAAGAGATCAAATCATCAGTGAGATAAAGTAAATGAGAGCTCAGAGCAAGCTGGAGTTAACAAGAGATGTTAAAAATAATGAAGAAGGCTTTCCTAAGCAAGGTCAAAGAAAAAAGGAACAGTACCATCTACTTATGGCAAAAATGAATATAAAATACCTAATATAAAATATATATTCAACTCAAATTTTGGCCTACTCATTTCAAAAAACAATATGATGATATACTCCGAACTTAAATTAATTCAGACCAAATACTGCACTACAGACAAGGGTGATATTTAGAATGTGGCCAAACATGAATCCATCACATATCACTTTGGAAGAATAGGTGAAGCACCAGTTAGCTGGCACAGGGCAACTGTTGTCATATCTTAAGTAAAAGAAAATACAAGAGCCAGAAAACTAAAAACTAATCAATCTGTCATTGATGCCAAGGAAATTTATTTGCATCATAGTGATTGACCATAAAAGTAAAACAGCACTTATTAGAAATCATAATGGTTTTGTCAAAACAGCTGTTGTCAGATTAAATTTACTGGGAGTTTTTAAAAAACACTTTAGCAGATTGTGGGATTGCTTTTCTCACAGGCATTAGGTTATTAGTAGAACCTGACAGAGGGAAGTTTGTGAATGAATATAGTAAGTTGCCTTAATTTTTATATTTTGTATTTATTGTGCTTGTACTTATGTTGTTTTTATTGTTCTCTGTTATGAATACCAAATTATTTGCTTAATGGTCAGATAAACTTCATAAATACATAATATAAGGGGTTCTCTCAATAAATTAAATTTTAAAAGTCATCCAAATGTGTTCCATCTAATCTGCTTCTAGAAGAATATAATGTTGGGGCTAATCTAGTGTCTCGTGGAAGACTATTCCTAAAAAATGAGGCTGATTTTCTAAAAGGGTAAATACAATTTTTTGGATGAATCACCAGAAATATAGTTACCATATCAAAAGAAATAATAGTTCCATTGTTCCATTGTCTCACCTGGAATATTGCATCCATTTCAGGTCACCATACTTTAACAAAGATTCAGAGAAACTGCAAATGGCATAGCAAATGACTGTATGGATAATCAAGGGGAGCAAACCTAAACCTTATGAGGAAAACCTATTATTTTAAACAGATGAGAAAGTAGAAAATCTGCTAATGCTTTTGAAGTACCTAAAGGAATGCCGTACAGAAAAAAGCCTGGAACTTTTTTCTATTGCTACAGAAGATAGGGCACCCAAATAATGGTGTTATAGTCAAAAAGCAAAATTTTGGTTCCTAATGGGAGACCATTTTGACAATGAAGTAGATCCTTTGATGAATGTGTTCTGCAGAGGTTAAACAATAGCCATCCATTTAGAGATAATTTACATTGGTTTTCTGTGCCAAGCAAATTGAATTCAATAGTCTAGATGGCTTTCCGATGCTATGACTCTGTGACCTAGAATACTTCCCATTACAGAATTATGTGCACCTAGAAAGCGCCTATAAAAATAAGCACTCTAATAGAAACTACTATTTCATTTTGTAGTCTGAATTCTCCCCACAGCATGACTCCTAGGATGGGTGGAAAAAATAAAACATCTTCTACTGTGCTGACATTTCTATTTCTTCCATGTTCCATTATCTCAATGTTCTGCAATAGAAATTGCATACCTGCAATTACAACTAATTGATCTGCCATTTCCGATGTCATAATTAATGTCATGTTTTAATAGAGTTATAATCATTCCATAATAATGGTTTTCATTCAGCAAATTTCCAAAATGGGTAAGAATATGGAGCTCAATAGCAATAAGCAGTGTTGAGGCTCTTTCAAAACCTCCCAGAAGGAATATCTTACTATAATGATCTTGCAAAAGAGATTTAATTTTTTTTATCTAGATATTAAAGTAATATTATTCAAGCTCCTTTTCAGTGTGACTTATCCCTAAACATCCCTAAACATAATAAAATCAATGGTTCAATGGCAAAATGCATTATGCTTCCAAAAGGGTTATTTAAAGTACTCTTAGAGCAAAGATAAGGGAAAGGGTGACTTCTGCAGAACAAGACAAAGCACCATCAAACCATTGACTGTATTTTATGTTGGTACAGATGTGCCAACTTAAATGCAGGAATTTAGAACTATAAAAAGTACTCTAAGACCACAAATCAATTCTTCATGACTACTGGTTGTCCTGCTAGATCATTTTAAACTAATATTTTATCCTGCAGAAGCAGAGGCCAATTCCCAAAATTAAAAGAATAGATGGGAATAAGAAACAAAACTAAATTGATATTACATTTACCAAATTTATAAAGATGATAAGCATTCTTGCTTCCCACAAATGTATGGGCAATGAGACAGATCCATCTAACACAATGACTTCCTTCACAGCTCATTATTCAGAATGGTAAGTTAACATAACCAAAGTTTTAGCTACCCCATGAAACATCAATTTACCCTGAATCAGGTCAGGGTCAGATAACTGACTGGGAATATGTATCAAAAATTCAGTCTGCTATTCCAGATAGTTTTGCAGTGTGACATGGGCAAAGAACAGTGGAAATCCAGATTTTAGTATGAAAGCTCATGTTCTAAGTCTTGAAAGAGATTATCTGTTCTAGATAAGAAATATGTTAAGAGATCAGTAGCTAGTAGATCAATATATTAGCAATCCTGCTGTAATGATAAAATTAAAAGCAGATAATTCACTTCTCTGATATCCTTGTAGGAAAGACAAGTAGCATAAGACTTTGATGTTCATATACTGTTATCTAGGAGAGCAGTAGGATAAAAGAACTGCTTTAATTTATGCTTTGTAAGACTAGTTCAAAAGAGTCAATACTATTTATCAACAACCAAGAGTCAACAATTATGCTTAAGAAAAATATAAACTAATACTTTCTAAATGACCATAGGAAATAGAGGTTCATATATTATTTTACCAAATCTTTCAGAATGATAAGGAAGGGGGCAAGATGAATCAGCTTCAGTTCAGATTATAAATACAAGAAATGGTAACCCTCCCTGCTAAAATATAAGAACAAGAACCTTGTTACCATATCAGCTATATAGGCCAAGTAAGCATATTTGAGGGTATTAAATGGGAGTTCCTAAAACTGTTATCTTTCTCCATTGATTCTCCTTTGAATCAATGGTAGCAAAATGTTTTCAAAAAGTTGAACACATTTTTGCAATTTCTTTCTCTCTGGGAGGAATAAAAATCCTACCAAATGCAAAAGGATATGATTAACAGGAATCAATAGAACCTCTACTACCACTTACTCAGCAGTTCTTAAATGACTAACAACATGATAATCTTTTCAGTAAAAAACCAGGATTCCAGAAATAACAACTCTTCCAATGTCTGAAGATTGGGATAAATATCTTACAACCGCATCTGGCAATAACCAGAGAAATATAAATTACTGTCCTAGCTTAGCTTCTTACTAATTTCATTTAAAAGTACATATATTCAGAGTGTTTACTTCAAGGGGTCAAAAGTATTCCATTATACTGTAAAATATTATTAAAAATGAACTTGTGTCAATAAAAAGTTGGTTTATCAATTGGAGAGGATTTTACCAAAATCATGTGCTACATTCATCGTCAGTTTTTTCTGATACCCCAAGTTCAGATAAATAATAATTAGTTTTATTCATATTAAATAATTGTATTGATATGCAATTCTTTATGAAATAAAACTTTATTTCAAATATCAGTGTTTTGACTGATTCAGAGTTCTTCTACTGGATCGTTAATTAACATAAAAATATCAGTATTGATTCTAAAAATGGAAGGATGGTGATATCTAATGCTTGCAACAGGGGTTCTTAATTCATGCTGGGAAAGACCCTGAAATGAAATATTTGCACTAAGTTTCCAGTTCAGACTGTAGTATCTTGATATTATATAGATAAAAATCCATTTCAGATGACAAGATCATTTGAAAACAATGTTATTTTATTTAATGGTGGAAATCTTGTATGATAAAACTTGTATTTCATTAACAATCTAATGTGTCAAAGCAGAATGAACCTTACTAAGTTATCTAGTAAGGTTGACTCTAGTGAAGTTTTTCAGACTTAAATCTTTAAACTAAATCAATTCTTATCAAATAAATAATATCATACTGAGTGAAAAATGAAGAAAAAAAATTGAAAATTTTTTTGGGATTACCTGAGTCATATGCAAAATCTCGAGGTTCTTGTTTAATCATCAGAGGAGGAGGGAAACTTTGATTGACTGAATTGCCAACCATGGCATTGTGTTCATACACTGGATCATGGTACTCCTGTTTAAACCCTTGAGGTGGGAAAGGGATGTTTGGCTCAGACATCTGGCGTTGGTACATTGGACGTCCTTCCCGCAGCATGGTAGGCAAAGGAGGAAAGGAATTACAAGGTTCTGAGAGCTGACGGCGAAATCTAGGATAATAACACATAAAATGATTATTAATCTAATGATGGTGGAGACAGAGATACTGGAAAGAATGGATTGTGGTCAGGGTAGGATGGAAGATAAACTGTTACAACAGATGGCATGGGAAAAATGATAGTAAATTTTGGACATTAATTTTTCTCCTCGGAAAGAAACACAGATACAATTTTCTTCAGAATATAGCAAGAATCTAAGAGACAGTATAGGGATCATCTTTCTATAAGAATTAGATAAAAATAGCTGCTCCTAGAGAAGGATTTCATGGTTGGCCCGGCCATAATAAACAGTTTTATTAAGCACCAATTAAGTATGCTCTTCTTTGCTCATTTGATATTAATAAAATAGCTAAAAGTAACAGAGAAATGAATGAAACAAGAAAACAATATTTCATATCACACAAGGAGAAAATAAAGTAACAAAAGACTGTATAGTGTTTAGCAAAAACTCTGATTTTGCAGTCATTCAGGTAGCAGATATTTAAATACTATTATTTATTTGGACTGATAATTTACATATAAATAGCATGTTCAGTATTCAAAACACTTCATTTAATGTGCCATAGAAAATTTAATGTATCAGTGAAGTATGGTTTGCTCAAACTAAACTAAGAAGGAATGCATAAAAAAAGGGAGAAAATAACTAGACTCACAAAAATATTTCTCATCCTTTTGCTGTTAAATACAAGTCAAGCCTTACCTGTTATGCCACCCAGCATTCATATAATTTCAATTTAGCTATTAGATACTTCCCCGGCCAACCAACCATGGAATTGGGACTCAAGAACACTTTGGACAATTGCACCGAATGAATATTCAAGATGGGACAGAGTGAGTGTGTGGGTGGGTGTGGAAAAAGGGAGGGAGGCAGAGAAAGAGAGAAAGAGGGAGGGAGGGAGGGAGGGAGGGAGAAGGAAGGAGAGCGCCATGTGTTTATAAAAGTAGCTTTGATTTCTTTTGGTACTCAGTAAGTTAATTGGGCTTTTCACAAATAATAGAATACAATAGTATTGATTGTTTGCTTAAAAGACTTCTACCACTACCCATCTTACATGTGATTCTGGGCAATAACAACAATTTAATAATTTATTGAAGCTACAAATATACTGAGCCATGGTTCATCACATTTTGTAAACTTTTTGAGTTCTTTGTTCTGTCTGGAACCTAGATTTCTTTGGTACAGCGAGTCACAATCACTATGCAATTAAAAAAGAACTAGGTTTACCAATAAGCTCCTGCTGAAACATACATGAGGAATTTATGCCATACCTGCCTAGCACAAAAATAAAAAGTCAGCCCTTCATATTATATCTATGTAAATAAAATGCGTGTTAAAGCCCATGAAGTTCATTGGATTAACTTCCATGTCTGTTTCATTTTAGCAGATGAAATTGCAGGACAACAAGCAATTTTTATTATCACAGTCTATTAGAAGGAACTAATAAGAAATACATTTGTGGCTTAAAAGCCTGGAATTTATATGGTGATATTCCAACTTCAGAATGAAAATGCAAATTCAAAGACCATCGCCATCACCAAATTATCTGTGTCATTGTTTATATTGGGGAAATTTCATAAATAGTATGTCACAGTAGTGAGATTTAATTTTTTTTTCTACTACTAGTTCTGTGGGCATCGTTTGGTGAGCAGGGCAGGGGAAGGATTCTGTAAAATCTCCAGTCAGAGGTGGTATTTGCCAGTTCTCTGAACTACTCAAAATTTCCACTACCAGTTTTCCAGAACTGGTCAGAACCTGCTGAATACCACCTCTGATATGTCAGTTGTGAGCCGATACATTACTACACATTATGGAGTGGAAAAAAAACATATGGTATCAGATTAAAACTAAATTCTGGAATACATTCTGCTAAGGTTAGAATATAACCAATTGAATAAATTAGACTTGCTTTAACAATCATTATCAGAATTCAAATATAGCCATAACTAAATTTAAGCAAAATATATTGGTTTAATCTATGGATGCTTTGCCTTAGGAAATTCAAATTTAAGAAATAAGCAGGGTGATTCAGCTTCAGTTTAGTATTTTAGCTTTTGTGGTTTTGCTAAGTCTAAAGTTATTTGAACATAGTTTGTTTTGGCTGTTTAACTTCCTTTTCCTAAGCTAGTGCATTTCAAAATGCTCAAAGGACTAAATAAAAAACAAAAAAGCCCACACCCTTTCAATGGATACTATGCAAATTATAAGAATAAACAGCGATATTTATGTACAATTGATTTAATTAAATTCAAAACAACGAACAAACAGTGATTTGTAACCTTCATAAGAAATCCCCACCTATATAGCTATTTTTTTCCAGTCAAATAAATAGCATTTATCTGTATGGGATTTATAGAACATTGTCTACTTTATCCAAATACAGTAGAATTTTATGAGATGTTAACATCTGTTCTATTGTTGCCATTAAAATACCATCTTTAAAAATCTTCAGATTCTCTAGTGCTAATGATTTCTCAATTGATTACTTGCAAAATATATAGTTTAGAGTTTTTAAATTTGTAGCACAGTCAACACAAAATTTAAAAAATGCTATATGTTTTATGTATTAAAATTGAGCATGTTCTGAAAATATCTTGGAAAGCATCCTTCAAGCTTCTCTACTATTCATTAAAGAAAGCATAACTTTTATCATGCTTTGGCCTGGTCATGAAAAATGTGCTGTTTTTTGGTTTCTTAAAACAGTAGCAACTTTTTTTCAGGCTTAAAAAGAATTTTTTAAAACGCTGTTGTAATGAGCTAGCACAAAAATACTCTCTCAAATTTCTGCAGTCTAAAGAACCTTTTTTGTGAAATTTTTTTAAATGTATATAGGCTTACTATATATGCTGATAGACAACACATACTCAGAATATTTTACCTTTCCATGTATTGATTGTGGCTCTTGTCTCTTCATGTATGTGAATTCATTCATTCTCAAGGTTATAAATAAAATTAACTAAGGTGAATGATCCTGACATATTCAATAATAAACATAATATAAAGAAATGGCAAGACAAACCTACTTGCAATGGAAAACAAACATAGGAAGAATTGATTCAGTTACCTGTGATCCATAGGAAAGTTATTGTCTGGGATGGGCTGGGATGGAGGCAAGTGAGTTGCAAAAATCCGGTCAGGTTTAGAACTCTGAACCGAGTTTGAAGATGCATGATGCAGTGGTGAAACTGGAGTGCTTGATGGAGTTGGCGGGTTAGAAGTCCTCATTCCCACTTGTGGTTTCTGATCATAGGCACTGTTTGTTAACAAGGAGAAATATAAATGGGTTTTTCAGATAGACTGATGGACTAATTGTAAATAATCAATGGATACTAATCTCAAATTTAGTTTCTAGCATATCCAAGTTAGACTTGATAACACACTCAAGACTGTATGCAATCTTATCTATATCTGATTCCCTTTATTGGTTTGTGGAGAATTCCGAGAGTTACAGTCCCAAAATATAGCTGAAGGCCCAATTTTAGGTAATGCTGATCCAAACAGACCAAATATATAATTCAAAGTTGAATTTTATTTCCCCATTTGCCTCTAGATTGTTTTAACCATGATTACATGGCTGCACCATAATGGCTGAGTTCACATATCTTGTAAAGTTCTGAATTACGGCTTACAAATGCAAAAACTAAGTTCACATTATGCACTTAGGCAAGACCAAATACAGTATGGCATAAAGCACAGTATTTAATCAACTTCCTCTGGCCAATAACTAATGCTAATCTTGAACAATCTTGATTCTACATTACAATCTTAATCTTGATTCTACTAGATGATCAAAGCATAAATCATTCTCTATCCAGCATTATTTCCTAACCCAGTTAGGAAGTACTGGATATAATATGCATAACAAATACACACTGATTATTCTTTGTGCTTGTTAGATACATCTGCTATTTGTTTGGAGAGTTTGTTTTTCTTACTTTTTAAGAATATGTAGAACAAAATGCTTGCACCACAATTTTTACAAAGACGGCTTTGCAGCTTTATAAAGATTTTGGATCATGCAAGCTGATTTTACAAAAATGAACCTTTAAAGCTATAGAACATAAATAAAATGGTTAAAATCACATTTTTTTTTTAAAAAAGAAATATTCCAGAAAGCGTAGAAGCAAAACTTTTACTAGATGATTAAAGTTTTACACAACAGATTCAAGTTTTTGCATTTCAAATAACTTACCACAGGACAGTGTAAAAAGTGATTCCCTATGCCAAAAAAGTCTTATTTCAAATCGCATCTTGTCAGTTTTCATGTTTATCAAATTTCTAGGTCATCCAATTTTAACATGGCCAGTATTAGGGAGAGAAGAATCATCAAAGATGCAAATTGGAATTTCTCAGGTATAGAACTGAGCTGTTCTAGGAGTAATTCTAAAGCCTGATAAGAATTAGAAACAAATATATTATCTTATCAGTAAGCTAGTCTTTCACTGGATCACTTTATAATATTGACTTAAGATGACCGGAAGATATAAGTTATGCTAAATGAATAATTGGAAGTCAGAGATTGTATTGTATGTTGCTTCATTGTTTGAAGTTGGGTTCATTTTTAAGTTTCATCAGCCACTCAAGAGTTACCTTCAAAGTAAGATTTATTTTATCCTTATGCAAAAAACATGCCAGTAAGGTGACATGTTATGTTTTATTTCCAGTGTTTCTATAGATGTGTGCATAAGTGTATGCATGTAATCTGCATTTCAAAAGAAACATATTTGATTGGATCAAATAAGTAAATCTGATAAGATTCCATATCCTTGAATGATGAAGGAAGTCCAGGAAATTTGGGGAATGGAGAAAAAGATTTCCTTTATATGAGCCTAGGAGAAGGAACCTGTTATCTTCTAGATACAGCTGAACTACAATTTTCAGCATTTTTCCATATTGATGACCACTGAGAAAGGGGTTCTGGAAAATCCAGAGAAAGGGCAGATAACCTATTCTCATTCAGGAGTCTGTTGCCATCTTAGAGTTGAAGCACCGTTATAATGTTAGAAGCATACAGTAAAACTAAAATAAAAATAAAGTTATGCATATTATAATGATGCTATTCTTTTCTTCAAAAAAGTCTTTGTTGCAGAGCTATTTGAACTCCCAAGAGTAAATACATAGCTGCAAAGCACTCTGTGGGATAAATAAAAAGGCAGACACTTTATACCCATCCTAATGCATCTGGATACCACTTATGGATCTTTCTTCCAAAGGAAGCATTCCTCATGCCCACTTTGATTTCTTTTTGGCAATGGGCTTAATTTCCCCAGGTTTCTACTATTGGAGACCATCACCATCAGATTGCTTTTGATACTTTTACAGAGCATCTGTACCAGCTGTTACGCTCTGTTGCATTTTTACACTTTCTTTGTCACTGGAAATTACAGAGATGAAATAAGATATAAATGAAAATGAATGGAGCCACAGTTCTACCTACAATGCAGAATGTGTGAAAAAAGCCGTTCCAAAGAAGAAAAACAGCATCTCCTTAAGGGAAGTGATAATGACCCACACTGGCTTGCAAATATTTTTATTTCAACTCCTATAATCCTATATCATTATACAACTTTAACAAGCTTTCAGATCATTGTCCACACTAACTGCACTCAGATGATTCATAATTTCACTTGTTTCACTATCATTTGAAACTGGGAAAAGGACCACTACCTGAAAAAGGATTAATTTCCCTTTTTGTTTGGCACTGCTCCTGTAACAGGTGCAAGCAAAGCCCCTGTTCTTGTTTCCAGAAAGGCAGGAATCCTCTTAATCATTTTCAATGGAAAATAAATAGGAGCTTGAGCATGCATAGACAGTAACTACAAAGCTATGACAAACTACCGATTATGATAGCATAGCAGCCTGATGAAGCAGATAGTAATAATATATAGGTATCAGATGTCACTTAAAGTGGAGGTTGAATACTTACATAAAAATGTTCACTGGCTCTGGATTAGCTTGCAAACAATGTTATTCTGATTTATTATTTTAAAAAAAATTCAATATAGTTCTCTTATCCCTTTGTTCACACTGAAATAGATATGTTGAACATCTGAATCAGGAACTATAGTTTAATCTCAACATAAAGACAAGAAACCAATACCACTTTCATCATGTATGAGTCTCAATGGAAGGTTCCAGATTTAGTTACAATTATTTTCATGAAGCGGAGAGTGAGCAGTTGTAATCTGACTTTTCCAGAAATGTGCAAGCATTCCTGTACACTCTGTTCGATCATCCCCACCTGGTGTCAATTGTCAATGGATAGATTCACATACAGATGGTTTGTTCATCATAATATGAAAACTAGAAATTTTGATATGATAATAGAGAAGAATAAACTAGTCTTCTGTTATGATTAAAAAGCCATAGGCTTGTTGGCTGCATCTATTGGCAAAAGCAGTCAAGGAGTGGCAAGCAGAAACATTGCACCCCTAATTATAGAGGAATCACTATATTTCTCTTTTAAGCTACGTAAGGAATTCTGGGAGTTGAAGTCCAAACAGTTTTACAAGGTTAAGAAACCAAGACTGAGAAACACTGGTTTAATTTTTTTTTAAATATAAACAAAACAAAAAATCCAAGTGTTCAGGCAGCCAATATTATTTCAAACCATAAAATTTATGAAAGAGAAACTCCTATATTAAGGGAAATAATTTAGCCTACTCTTTATTGAGATTCTCAATCAACCAAGATCATGGTTGTCCCAAAGATGCTTTTTCAAAAGGACTTTTAGATCAGGAAAAAAACAAAACCCAGTTTGCCTTTTGAGAAAAGCCCTTTTGCAACAACTTAGCCTACTGTTTTCCTACTTTAGCTTATTTTCTTAGGAAAAATATACATGATAAGAATTTATTTCCCCACTTATGAGCTGGTAGATCAAATACAAATTTGCTACATAACAAGACCAGATAACCTCTTCCAAAGATCGAGAAAAAGTAGATTTTAATTGTTCCATTATTCTTGATCAAAGCCTTTATTGTCATTATACATCATGTATACAACAAAATTGGTTTAGCCTCTACTGGTGCAGTGCAGTCCATACAAGAATACAAGACAACATGAATAATATAAAGAATAATCCTTATACAAGTAGTTAGGGCGAAAATAGTCATATGTTTCCATATGTACGTCGTATTCTATGTTTTTAAACTGTTCCATTACTGTATCACTATGATATTAAAGTTTCTACTGAAAGTATTTATGCAAAATTAAGTTACTTTACCTGACATTGTACAGGCACTTTTCTCCATAACTGAATTTGAATGGTTGTTCTTGACTACAAGCTGAGCTGAGTTCAGAACATGGGCTGTGGGGTTCTTTCTTGATTTTCACTGAAAGACCATGAAAAGCCACTGTAAATATGAAAAAAAAACCAGGAATAGAAATTATTTTCAAGTAGGTAATAGTTAAGAATAATGGGAACTGCAGTTCAACAATCTTTGGAGGTCCTCAGACTTCCCACCCTTGCTTAAGAATAAAATATGATGCCAAACGTTTAATATTTACAACTTTGACAGGAAATATGATTTAGATAAAGTCAAGGAGCTTCAGGACTAAAATTAATTATAAAAAAGAGCAAGCTAATTACATAATCAACAACATCAACAATGAAACCAGAAGTTAATATATATGCCACGGACTAGCACTTGATAGAACAGCCATCAAGGTGTTGGAAAAGATATTCAAATAGCAGAATGTGTCCATGCCTACAAAGATAAGAACTGTGCAAAACATGGTGTTCTCTGTGACATTCTATGGAAGCCAAAATAAGACTTTGGGGTAAAAGGACAGAAAGATATCCTTTTTTGAAGGATTTCTGACATTTTTTAAATTTGGTATTAGACAAGATTGCAGAGAATATCACAGAGTGTCAAGAAAACAAACCAACAGGACATTAACCAAATCAACCCAGATATCTCACTTGAGGAACAAGTGACCAAGGTCAGATTATCTTATTTTGGATAAATTAAGATCTAACTTTCTAAAGAAAGCTTCAATAACGTGAAGAAAAGAAAAGAGATGACCAGTAGCAAGGTAGATGAACTCAGTTACAGTGGCAATGGCATGGTTGAAAGATCTGAAAGGCCAAGTTAGAAACATATCTTAATGGAGAATATTTATGTAGTCACCATGGATTTGATGGCACATCTCCATTAATTCTAGTTTGACACCTTCCAGCATTAATACAAAGTAGGGAAGATCCAGTGTACTTTGGGGCAGGTGCAAACCATTCCGTAGCAGTTAGGCTACAACAGACAAAGATTGCCTTCATACTCTTAGCCTCAACTGAGGTGAAAATCTAAAGCAGATGATCCCTCATAGATTAAATATGAAGACAACAGATTCATAGAGGAGATGGTCCCAAGACAGGAAGCCAAGCTATGCAAGGCTTAATAGATATTTACAAAAACTTTAAATTCCATACAGAAACTGATAAGCAGTCAATAGAATGCCCACAAGACTGGAGTTATTTTGCTGCAGCAACCCTCATTAACAGACAGCAGCTGCATTTTCGACCAACTGTGGTATCTGGGTGGTCTTCAAAGGCAATCTCAAGTTGTGTATATTACAGCAGCGTAATTAAGAGGTGATGAGGGTGTGAGTCACCATCAGTGAAACAAACCTTAACCATTTGCATTTGCTTTTAATTAACTCGTGCCAAAAATACTGTAGTTTTCAGTATAAGATGCTTCAAAATAGTATTTTTAGTTATAAATTATATACATCTTCATTGAAATCCTAACTCAAAAATCATAATGAAATACCATCAACAGCTCTGCAAGCAGCCTCTTGCTAATTTAGTTTTCCAAACTGTGGTAAAACCTTTAGTGTTAATAAACTTCACAAATGTTCAACAGGGCATATTAATCAAGTGAAGTTCCTTGAACAAAATTTGGTATTGAGGAACTGTTGCCAATTTAGAAATCTTTCAGACAAATCAGTTAGGCTAATAACTTGTTGGTAAGAAGGCATTATGTTTTCCAAACACCATGGCTGAAAATTATGAATGAGAAACATTAGTGTTGTAGCATCATCTCCCACTTATAGACTATCTATTTGAATTTGGTTGAGCTCTTGAACTACGCCTTTGGTCAAATTCAATATGACCCTTCTTAGAAACATGAGAACAGATACCCCATTTAAATTAATGATATCAAAGTTAAGACTGACTTTCAGAAATGATTGCACAGTTTCAACCTCTAACTATTCCATTTGGAGATAAACTATTATGCAATACATGTAACTGATATGTTATAAACTGTCCTCTGAATAAATAAGAATTTGTAAAACAAAATAATATCTTGAATGTCTACTTTTTCTTGTTTTTTAAAGAATTTCTGATAGATAGATGATAGATAGGTAGGTAGGTAGACAGACAGACAGACAGACAGATAGATAGAAAAAAGCCCTACATCTATCTATCTATCTATCTATCTATCTATCTATCTATCTATCTATCTATCTATCTATCATCTATCTATCTATCTATCTAATCTATCACTTTCATATAGCTGCACAACTCAACTAAAGTCACCCTGGGCAGAAAAAAACAGATTCTAACAAAAAAGAAAACAAAGCATAATACATAAACTAATTAACAATAATAAAGTAATAACATGGAAATTCAAGCAGAAATGTCACATTACTATCTCCAGAAGCCTAAGGATGTCTCCCTTATAGGATCATTATCAAGCAATAGAAAAGCCTATTCATAATGACAAAAGCAATAACATGAAATTTGGGGGTACTGTTTTATCTTCAGATGGCTTCAAATAGTCATTCCTACTAAGCGCACTTCAGCCTGCAATTGCCTTTTGTGCTGGACCATATAAAAAAGTAGCAAAGTGCTTTTTCAAGATCTCTTAAAGTTGCATCTTTTTTTGAAATGTGAAACCTCAAGAAATTGTTCCCTCGCCCCTCCAAACAACAATTTGGGGGCATTATTCAAGAAATCAAAAGAAGAAATGAACATTTGTTTGCTTCCAAGAGACCTCCTACTTCAATTTCCATTAAAAATTGAAAAACAAACATAAGCATGAAAATTTTCAGGTCCATCCTTCTGTTTTCAGATTCTCCTGCAACTCAATGAAAGGTCAAGAATTTTTAGTCCCAGAGTCCTCAATTGTATCTCTTCTAAAATATCTCTGCAATGTCCCATGTATTTGGGATATCTCTGCTAGATCCCATGTATTACTAAACCAGATTCTATTAATTATATTTCATGCTACTGATAGCATATCTTGACTTTGATCAAAATTTTCTAATCTGGCACATTATTTTTGTTTCGAAAAAGTGGGGCTTATATTCGGGTGCCTTTGATGTTTAAACGCTGGTCTTCCAGTACATCCGGAATCTATATCTTAGGCCCTTTTCCATTCTCGACTTGTTGGTTATGGTTTCTTTCTTAATCTATAATTAAGGAGCCATTTTCACAATTGTCTTTAAAATGAAGGAAACATACAGGCTCCCACAGCATCTTATGTGATATGTCCTAGTGTATCTCATCACAATATGAAGAGGCAGTAAAGCAACTAAAAACAGCTTATCAGCACACTGAAACAAGGCTTTTCAAATGCATTACATTCATTTTATACAATTTGCTTTTCTTTCCCAGATAGAACTGGTGCATGTAATGGACTATTAAGTACTAAATTATTTCTTATCAAATCACCATCAATGGGAGTCATGATCAACACTAATTAAATAACTTTTTCTGAACATGATGTCTGCCAGTTCTTCTGCTACAAGATATATTTTTTTTTGCTTCTGATACAAGGATAGCAAGGTTCAAAATGCAGAGTTAGGTTACTATGCTGGAGTTTTAATTAAAAGTCCATGCCATCTTTTTTTTAGAGTCTGAAGATATAATGTCTGAGGTAGTAAAGTTAACTTTTTAATGTCAGGGTGAAGCTCAAACCTGATAAACCTGCTACAGATCTTTTTTCTATATCTGGTCAACATCTACCAGCGATCTGAGACTCGGGTGCTTGAGTGAGGCCAAATGTTCAATGATCAGCGCAAAAACTGGTAAGATTGGTTTAACTTTTGTTTCATGCTTTTTGTGGCTGAAGCAAACAAGTTAGCTATTGTTTTCTTTAGGAAACATTATTCAAACAGGTGGGGATAGCATCTATCATCAGCATAGAAACATAAGCAACACACACAAATAGCCAATTTAATATATTATCCATGGAATACAGAGGCAGAAACTTTCATGAAATACTTAAAATTCCTTGTCAAGAACAATTCTAGATTTCAAGCAGATCTCCATAGAAAAAATAGTACAAACTACTCAAATAATCACTTACGATTTAGTAATCTGAAAGATTACTTGGCTTGGCAAAATCTCATGTTCATACAGATTTCAGTGCTCACAGAACACAAATAACAGCTATATTTTTTCCTCTGGTTCCATTTCCTGATCTTCCTAAATCTTACAATACCATAATAAATTGGAAAAGGGGTTAAAAAACCCAAATCTCAAGTAAGTTTTTCTATATCTCTAAATTTCTCTTGCTCAGCTTATACTTAAAAAAAGAAGTGAAAACATGTGAATAGAGCCTTTTAAGGTTTTGGAGATCTATTTGTACATGGATTATAAAAGCACTTGTTTTACATATAATAAATATCAGGTCACATAATATACAGTTCCGGAACACTTTGACTGGAAAATGTGTAGAACATACTGGCACTTAGGGACCGTATGTTTAGAAGAACAGTAAGGCAAGAATTAAAGTTTCTTACCAATAGCTGTGTTGTTTGTTTGTTTTAAGAAAAGCTGAGCTAAAAAGTAATAACAGTCCCAAAACTGAAACTCCTAAAAATCTGGCCTCTCCGATATTTGCTTATCACAGACTCTACCTCACTTCAGATTGTAGACCTGCAGCCTGTGAAACTCCTTTCTTCTCAAGAAACATTAAGTGCACCCCCACAACCAAAGCATATGAATCTGAATCATAAGACATCTAGAGATTCATGGGCCAAGCCTCAAAGAAAATATTGATGATAATGATTCAGAATAAAAAGTTGAGCAGTTTCTGGTGTTCTCAATTAAAACACCTGCTTAAGTGTGATGAACAAAAATGTAACCTTGAGATAAAACGTACAATCTGAGCAAAGGGAAAAAAGTGAAATACACCAAATGTGAATAGATAACATTATCCTATTGCAAAGCAACCCCTCACCCTTAAAAAAAATCAGATTGTGTCAAATCTTTGGAGCTAAATGATTATCCCTATATTCAAATATAGAAGAGACATGCACTGTCATTTGAAAGTGAAATGCAGTGAAATGTCTCCAGCTGTAACTATGGCTTCATAACCCTATATACAAAGCACAACTTGTCAACAAA